TCTCACTTCCCCATTTGGAAGGTCTGGAGAGAGCAGGGACTCCTCTCAGACGCGTGGTTGGACAAGACGTTGCGCAGAGGCTATGCTCTGCAGTTCGCGAGGAGACCACCGCCATTCCAGGGCGAGTGTTATTATCACATTAACCATCTTCAGTGTGGTAAGGTCCATGGTTATGTTATTGTCTGATTCAGTTGAAATTAACAAAACAACTTCCTTAACGTGATCCATTCTTAACGACTGCAGCAGTGTCTCTGTGTAAACTACAGTCAAATGTCCAAAAATCATCACCTCCATTTGTCACTACACCTGTTTTTACCATCGGTACCAGTCCACACTGTTTAACACACCAGCAACAACAGCAGAACCAACAGCAGCAGCGCTCAAAACTCCTCTGATAGTTTCAGTAACACCACAAATGAATATGCGACATCAGTAACATCAGTCTCTTATCAATGGCAACATGTTGGTGACAGCGAGTGGTTTCTCAGACCATGTCTGCAGCCTGTGAGAGTTTTAACAAACTCTCTCTCACTGTGCGGCTGCGATGCTAATGCTATGTTTTTAGCACTCAGACTCAGGTAGCTTCCCTTTACAGCAGCAGCACTAACCTCTCGCTCTGGGCACAAACAGACTGCTGTGTCTTCAGGGGCAGACAGGTTTATCCTCAGTCTTCTCAATTCTCCGCTCAAAGAGCCGTATTTTTCGCCAAGTCTTGTAGTTTAAGATGTTATTCCTTCAGCACCGCTCTGGTGGAGCTACTACAGACACACTGGACTCGCTGCTGAGCGCGGCGCCTTGCGTCGCGTCACGGATTTTTAAAATGTATTATTATTATAATTTTACATAAATGAGCCGCGGGCCGTATGAATGACACCCCTGGCTTAGTGTGTCATTCCGAGCAGTTTAGGGGATGGCGTCAGTCCAATTTACAGATGCCCTGCTGACTAGTATAAGTCCAGACGCAGCAGTAGTACAATCTTCACATTGTTGCCCCTGCTTATCCAGATAGTCGTCATGTAGATTTAAAATAGGGCTTTATTCTGTGCTTTTGCTTGAATGATAATCGTAAAATTGGTTGGAGTGGCCCTAAAATGACTTTGCATAGGGCTCCAAGAAGAATAGATCTGGCTCTAAATGTCTTACTTTTTTTTGGCTTCCAATTTCTGCCTTTGTAGAATTGTTGTACAAATATTCCCAGGATCTACTTTTTATGAAAACAGTGGTCAAAAATATTTGTGCTATGCGAACAGCAACGCCAGTGTACACCAGAAGCAATGCAGGCTGGTGGGACGGGGTTACCAGGTTGGCTCTTGCTTCTTATTACATCACAGAAATCCTTTATCTGCGAAAAGCTGCCATTCACACTCCACAAGAGCTATTACACATACACGCACACACACAAACACACACACACACAAAGTTATGAGGCGTGGAGTGGGAAGCCTTTGCAAACTCTCTGCCTGCACCTCTGACCCACGCCCCCACAGCGCTGAGTTCGTGAGGGGGAAATTCTTCCATTTGAGGAAAGGCTCTTTGCTTGACCTGTCGGTATCTGACATTATTTTTTCCATCTTGCAGAGAAGCGTCTCCAGGGTACCGCCGGCTCACTCACGGTTTGAGGCTGGTCAAGAGGTAGACTGCAGGCTATTTGTTCAGTGTTGGAAAACTAAGAATGGGGTTTTATGCTTGAAGGATTATAATATCTATAATTTGTGCAGATTAAAAATAGTAAAAACAAAACAATCATAGCCTGAGCACAGAACAGGGGTTGTCAGAGCAATTGTGTTTTGAATGCAAAAAAATACATAAATCACTTCCATGAATCAATCTATTTACAACCACTGTGGTGAAACCATTGCATTACATAGATAAAGACCAACAGCAGTTCATTCCACAGAAAATGTCTCCTAATAATCTGGACTGAATGCTCACTAGACTTGATCATGTGAAGATGTTTACTGCTCATACTTGAGTGAACATGGTGGAAAGCTTGTTCACTCTGCTGCTCTGAACACAAATGCTGGACGACAGAGCTCCTCATGCAAACTCTGTACAGGTACATGTGTGAACTCAGACAGAATCACTGGGAGACCTCTTCCTGCGGTAGTTATTCCCCATGATGGCAAAACTGACCTACACAAATACAAGATACAAGAATTTTATTTGCCATTTGCAGTAAAACCACTTTGGAAAAACTGTGCAAGACTACCCCAGTGTGTACCAGACAGAGAAGACGGCACAAATCAGAACTCCATCCACGGCGCCATCTATTACAGCGCCATGCAACAAAAAGTATAAAAAACAGCAGAGGGCAGTAACATACATTTCACAAAGACAGTTTGGATAGACAATTAGGGGGGTGAGGAGCACGGGACAGGAAGGCAGGGGGGGAGGGGGATCCGGAGCTGGACATACTGTGAGTCTGTGAGGCTTGTGTTGAAGAAGAGTCCCGTTATCAAACTTTGGCCTTGGCCAATGGAATGTGGAAAGTGTAGGTGAGGAGCCACAGTCACATGAGAAAAACACTTCTGGGACAATTTGTATAAGCAGATCAAAACACTGGCAATTATACTATAGATCCAATTGAGACGAATTGCTGGTACCCTACGTAGACAGGGGCCTTTCCATGTGTCGTCAGAGAGTTTAGCCATAAGACCCAATTTCATTCAAATTAATACAAGGTCAGAGTCTGCAGACTTCAGTATTCAGGGTTTTTACAGTCATGGAGAACTTGCAAAAAATATATGTATGTATATCAATGTATGAATAGTTATGCTAAACGAATTAATAATGTTGGGTACAACAAAGCCTCAGGTCTCCAAGATGTCTGCACATTCAGATCTATGTTCTGTGCTCACTGGCTCATGCTCGCACCATGGACGTCCCAAACATCATCATCAAGTGACCCTTCCTGGTCAGAACGAGTAACACATGCTTATTCTGACCAGTCAGAGCTGACTGTGGACAACGGGTCTTACTCATGCACAGAGGGACATGTGATTGGCCAGAGCGCCGCTGATAATCTGTGGCACTTAAGTGTGGATTTATAGAAAGATGAAAACAGTGAAACTAGATCAGTGAAACTAGATCCCCAACTTTGTGAAAGCTGTAGGTTTCCTGTCATAGGGGAAAATCGCCTCACAACCCATATGGATTTAAGCTGCAGTGCCGTTGCCCTTTGTTCATGTGGGGATGAGGATGATGATGATGATGATGAGGATGAAATGGATGGATGGCTGGATCCCGTTATTATTACACATCCCAGTAATATTGATTGCCACCAGAAGTAATTAGCCCCATATCCACCAGCACTACTATACCCGACTCTATTGTACCAGGTACTTTTTAGTCCCTCTTGGCCCTGGGGTTATCCAGACCTAACTGGTTAGAACACTAAAGTGTCCTAACATGTTTTTCTCATGTTTTGAAAAAACATGTTGCCATGTTTTATTCAAGGTATTTCAAGAATACTGGTTTGTTTTTGGTAGGTTGCAAGGATACGGTACCAAATACTAAAGTGCAATGGAAACGCAACCAAGTATAGCGCTGAGTAGAGTAGAGCCAAGTAGAGTAGAGTTAAGTTGGAACAAGTAGGGATGGTGGAAACGGGGCTTGAGATACTGATGGAGCCTTTCTTCAGTTCTGCTGTTTTCAATACAGTTCTTTTTGTAACTTATAAACTTTTTTTAAGATCACATCTAGAAAAGGTAAATTCTTATGCAATGTTGGTTTATAGGTGACTTTGACTACAGATTTTCAGCCAGCCACGTCCACTTTGGATTACTGATGGGTCTAAAGGGGCGTTCACACCGGACTTAACTTCGGCGTCAAAAGCGTCAGGTTTCCATTGAAAGTGAATGGTGAAGCGCGTCAGGTGAAGCCGAGGGGCCCGGAGTCACTTGGCGCGCGTCAAAAGCTTCAAGAGTTGCGCGTACTACGCGCTCACTTGAAGCTTTTGACGCGCGAAACGCTCGCGTATCAAAACAATCCCTTTGACGCCGAAGCTGAGCAAAGCTGAGCTTTTGAAGCTTTGACGCGGGCTTCAACCAATTAGGAGACGAGGAGCAGCAGCAGCAGAGTCATGTATCTGCTGCTGCTGTTTTGTCATTATTGTTATTAGTAATATTATTTGTATGAGTAGTAAAATTCAGAGTAACAAAAATCATTGTACACATGCTGTGTAGTAAACGTAGTTTATTTAATATAAGAACAGGCTGACGATGAGTCTGGCTCAGAGCAAGGCAGCTCCGGGCGGGCGAGAGCCGGGGAGAGGCAGGGAGAGGCGAGCGAGAGCCGGGGAGAGGCAGGGGGAGGCGAGCGAGAGCCGGGGAGAGGCAGGGAGAGGCGAGCGAGAGCCGGGGAGAGGCAGGGGGAGGCAGGGAGAGGCGAGCTCCGGGGTTTGAGAACTCAGACTGGGCAAGTGACATGCGGAAGTACCGCTGAAAGCGAAACTCCTCCGTACGCAGCTCCTGGAGTAAATGACGGAACTCTGCAAACACTGCAGCCTCTCAAGTCTGTGGTGAACCCAGAACATGTTTTGTTGAAGCCCTACAACAACGTTATTTTGCTTTATATAACAAATAAAGGCTCGCTGCTCATTGAAAAATCCATCGCTGTCCTGACTACAGACAACAGAGAAGCTCCTCCCACCGGCGTCAGGCGCGTCACTCGCGTCACTCGCGTCACTCGCGTCAAAAGCTTCAAGCACCAAAATGACAAAACTATCCCGGCGTCAGTTGAAGCGCGTCAGAAGCTTTTTGAAGCTTTTGGTCTGAACGCGCCTTAACTCTGGAGCCCTTTATTTAAACATCTTAGCCACGTCCACAGTGTGTGAAGAGGAGAAGGAAGCAGGCTGCTCTTAATCAGCTCCGGTGGTGCACACACTCGTGCTGGTGTTTGCTGGACACATCGGCGTGAAAAGACTTGAACCACACTCACTGTCTGACAGAGGAACTCTCCCTCCACTAATGAGTGTGTGCATACGTCTCCAGCAGCAGAGCTTAGTGAGGCCGCGAGGAGCTGAACAAAGACACCACACGCTCCCCCAGCTCTTGGAGGAGCCCACACCAGGCCTGTCTGGGGCACTGGAGCGGAGGAGGACCGGACCCGCTGTACAGAGCAGTGATGGGGGTCCCTAAAGAATTGACTTGGGACACACCGGCTTTAACCCAGAGCCGCTTTCTATTCATGTATAAGTGTAGCACAAGAGGATCAAGATATGGAATTGTGTTTAGCTCTGTTCACATTAAAAACACACTGTTTCAACAGTTCATTTTGTCCCAGTGCACTTCTGTTATGAAAACTTATGATAATGTTGTAAGTGGCAAATTTTCAACATTGTAAGTTTGCTTTCGCGATCTATGTATGGAGTCTCCCTGGTCTATAGGAACGAGGATTAAACCAATGTCCATTCATGTTTGGGATCATCCCATCCCCGCCTACGTCTGCAAGGAACCCTGAAAAACCCAGTGGGATGAACAGAAAAACCCTTGAAACAAACCTGGAAGGAGTATTTCTCACTATAATTAAAGGTCATTTGCCCCATTTACTCCAATACAATCCACAGCTATCAATGCATCGATACTGTTATCAGTGCCGATACCATGTCCAGGACTCAAACTCCTCTGCAGGAGTTTTGAAAGGTTCGTCTTGTCTTCTTAGTAGAGGAAGACATAAACTCATTACACTCAGGTAAGGCTGTGGACCGCACCCCTTCCCCCTGCCTGGGAGCCCCTTCAGTCCTGGATCTACAGTCTGTCCGTCTGTGGGAACGGAACCCTCTCTCAATGTGGACCTTCCAGATGTTTATCAGATTTTTTCCCAACAGATTTTCTGTGTTGTTCCTTGCTTCAGACAGTGATGATCTGGGACATATATGGACATTTATTAACATGTAGGGACAGTGGTCAAATGTTCCCACTATTTTTTCATGGGTCTGAGCGAAAACACTATCCCCCTGAGTGGGAGAGATAGCTCGGCAGAGATACTGTATCTCTTGAAAACTTACTTCAGATTCAACCAAAACATGATGCGTCCTAGCCCTGTTCTGCGTCAGACTTCTGTGTGGGGCTTTTCTTCCGCACTTGCAGACAGCTCATAATCATCACAGACAGAGAGCTTTAGGCTCTGCCTTTTTCTGGTCAGAGAATGGGGCCTGCGCACCCAAATCCAGCACAAAATACTGGATTTTTATTTTGTGCGCAGGACAGAGCTTTCTGTGCGCTGTGACCCCAAAAGCAATGCGCAATTGCGCACGTCCGTAGCTTAGAGGGAACACTGACAGTGGTTCTCTTGTTCCCTTTGGACCAATGACTCCTATATGTTTGTTATTATTATATTTACTGTGTTTGTTACATTCTCTGAGGAACTAATAAATAAATAAATTGAATTGAATAGAGGTAGGGAGCCCTAATATATAATATTACACTGTGCTTCTGTTGCCAGGGAGTTGCTATGGACAGCAGATGAGCCAGTGCATGTTACAGTCCGATATGGATGACTTGCTGTATGCTGCAGCGTGAGCACCTTGGTGGAGCCGGTCCCACAGGCGATCACTGAGTACAAGTGTTCAGAGGACAGAGAGCGCAGTCTATGTCCCAAATGGCCCTGGTACACTGTGGCCTGATGGAAACCACACATCTACATGCTCATTGATGAACAGGTAGTATTTCCCACTTTGAGAATATTCTTATTGGGTGGTGAATGATTCACAATGTGATTGATGTGTGTAACCTGTATAGAAGGAGGAAATATGTGGGTCATCCTCAGAGTGCATTTAGAGACAACACCTTTGTTTGGAAAGGTTTAAAACGGATCCGTCCAAGTCATCAGATGACGTCATAATCTGAAAGTTTCTTCACAGTGTACTGGATTTAAAAAATATCCCGATACATACAGGGACAGGGAGACGCTGGACAAGGTCATCAGGAAGTCCAGTTCTGTCCTGGGCTGTTCCCTTGACACAATGCAGCAGGTGGGGGTCCTGGAAAAACTAACATCTATGCCGGACAATGACTGTCACCCCCTGCAGGACACTCTGTCTGCTCTGGAGAGCAGATTAAGGGTGTATTCAGACCTGCACATTTGCTCCACTTTAAACGGACCAGGATTCGTTTGGAACTCTGATCCGAATCTTTTTTGCAGGTCTGAATACACACAAACGAATCCTGGTCCGGACCAAAGAACCGAACCGAGACCCACTTTTTGAGGTGGTCTCGGTCCGCTTCCAAACGAATTCTGGTCCAAGTCGAATCAGGTCTGAATACATCCGGTGTCGATCCGACACAACTCCAAGATACGTGCGCATTTTTTGGGCTTAAGCCGCAGACAGAAACTGTGAGGAATTAGCCATGCAGCGGCTAACTACGCTGCTAACTATGCTGCTAACGCTACACAACAACACTGAGCCGTGTGCAGACCTGGAGCAGTGAGGAGACGCTGTGCAACAGGCTTATGGAGTTAAAACTGTTCACAGTATACATTGATGAATGGCAGCATCTTCAAACCATTTACATTATTAAAAGCCTGACACTGTTTGACTCACGTCTCAAAGAGCAATATTCCGCATCATGTAGTGAATTGTGTTCTTTGGTTCCTACCTGATCCTCAGCGTCTGTTTGTCCCGTGGTTATTATAGATCCATGGTTTATCCACAATGCTGAACAGGGCCGTTATTATAATAGATCCATGTGTGGGACAGGACACGGAGCGCACAGACAGTCTCCTTCGGCTTTCTCCTCACGCATTCTCCGACGCTGTTCCAATATTTAAAACAACGTGTTTCGCCTGCGTCATATGAGCTGCTGCTGTTGATGTTGAAGATGGTTTTGCTCTAAAAAGAGCAAACAGAGGCAGAGCAGACATGCTGCACATACGAGCCCTCAATGTTTTCCTCCGGTTCCGCGTCTATCCTCCGTGAACTCTCGCTGTCCAATAGGAGCGCCGATCGTCACACGTGTCGATATGTTTATATAAAAAAGTTCACTTGCAAAAAAGACAGTCTGAATACAAACCGGAGCAAAAGAAAAAAGTTTGGTCCGCTTTTGATTTGGATCAAGCAAGCGGAGCAAAGAACTTTTCAGGTCTGAATACACCCTTAGTGACAGATTTATTCACCCTTACTGTGTGAAGGAGAGGTTTCCTACAGGGGTCATTCTACGCACCAGGGCATTGCTGGAGAATGTGTGTGGAAGAAATTGTAATTTTGTATAGTATTATAAGCGGTTAAACTTCCACATAGCCACTTTAACATAAATGTAAATTTAATCCCAGGCCAGCTGAGAGACCTAGTCCCTCCAGCGTGTCCTGGGTCTTCCCCGGGGCCTCCTCCCGCCTGGTGGGACGTACCTGGAACACCTCCCCAGGGAGGCGTCCAGGAGGCATCCGGAACAGATGCCCGAGCCACCTCAACTGGTTGCTTTGGACGTGGAGGAGCAGCGGCTCTACTCCAAGCTCGTCCCGTGTGACTGAGCTCCTCACCCTATCCACCCTAAGCTCATTTCGACCGCTTGTATCCACGATCTCGTTCTTTCGGTCATTACCCAAAGCTCATGACCATAGGTGAGGGCGGGAACAAAGATTGACCGGTAAATCGAGAGCTTTGCCTTTCGGCTCAGCTCCCTCTTCACCACAACGGTCCAATACAGCGACCGCATCACTGCGCACGCTGCACCGATCCACCTGTCAATCTCACGCTCCATCCTTCCCTCACTCGTGCACAAGACCCCGAGATACTTGAACTCCTCCACTTGAGGGAGGACCACTCCACCCACCTGGAGAGGGCAAGGCACCTTTTTCCGGTCAAGCACCATGGCATCGGATTTGGAGGTGCTGATTCTAATCCCAGCCGCTTCATACTCGGCTGCAAACCGTCCCAGTGCATGTTGCAGGTCCTGGTTCGTTGGAGCCAGCAGGACAAGCTGGACATCTGCCACAGGAGTCCCACGAACCATCATGGCTCGTTAGGACTCCTTCTTCAGCCTGACGGCATCCCTTACTACCGGTGTCCACCACCGGGTTTGGGGGTTGCCACCGGGACCATCACCAGAGACCTTGCGACCACAGCTACGAGCCGCTGCATCGGCGATAGAAGTGTAGAACATTGTCCACTCAGACTCAATGTCCCCCTCCTCCCCCGGGACCTGGGAGAAGCTCTCCCGGAGGTGTGAGTTGAAAGTCCGTCTGACAGGGGGCTCAGCGAGACGTTCCCAGCAGACCCTCACTACACGCTTGGGTCTGACCGGCTTCCTCCCCTGCCAGCGGCTCAAACTCACAACCAGGTGGTGATCGGTTGACAGCTTCGCCCCTCTCTTCACTCGAGTGTCTGAGACATGCGGCCGAAGGTCAGATGATACGACAACAAAGTCAATCATCGACCTCCGGCTTGTGCTTGAACATTGTGTTTGTGAAGGACAAATTTTTAACTAGCACAGAAGTCCAACAACTGAACACCGCTCGGGTTCAGATCAGGGGGGCCGTTCTACCCGATCACCCCTCTCCGAGTGTCACTGGCGCTTCCCACATCCCGCGTTGAAGTCCCCCAGGAGAATAACGGAGTCCCTGGGCGGTGCACTGTCCAGTACACCTCCCAAGGACTCCAAGAAGGCTGAGTACTCTGCACTGCTGTTGCCCGTAGGCTGTCACAACAGTGAGAGACTTGTCCCTCACCCGAAGGCGGAAAGACGCGGCCCTCTCATTGACCGGGGAGAACTCCAACACGTGGCAGCTGAGATGGGGGCAATGAGTATGGCCACCCCCGCTTGCCGCCTCTCCCCGTAAGAAACCCCAGAAAAGTGGAGTGTCCAACCCCTCTCAAGGAGTTGGGTTCCAGAGTCCAAACTGTGTGTGGAGGTGAGGCCGACTATATCTAGTCGGTATCGCTCAACCTCCCCCACGAGCTCAGGCTCTTTCCCCCCCAGTGAGGTGACGTTCCACGTCCCAATAGCCAGATGCTGCGTGCGTGTACTGGGTCGCCGAGGTGGAAGCCTTCGACCGCTGCCCAATCCTCTCTGCACCAATGCCCCATGGATCCCTCTGCGGGTGGTGGGCCCACAGGAGGGCTGGCCCACGTCGTCCGGCCGGGCCCCGTGGGCTAAGGCCCGGCCACCAGACGCTCGCTTTCGAGCCCCAACCCCAAGCCTGGCTCCAGGGTGGGGCTCCGGCTGCGCCATGCCGGGCGATGTCATGTGTTTTCTTTTTGTCCCCCAAGACCTGTTTGCCATGGGAAACCCTTCCAGGGGCATGAAGCCCCAGACAAGATACAGTAGCTCCCAGGATCATCAGAGTACTCAAACTCCCCCACCACGTAAAGGTGGCAGTCCAGGGGGGGAGCCTGGACTGTCATGCGTCAATGGCACTCTCACATTTCCTGTTCAAATCTTCCTCTAAATGGGCGTAGCCTGGAGGACTAAAGGGGGCGTGAACGAGACTGGGCCGTTTATATAGCTCTGGGCGGGGGGCTGCTGACGTCAGGTCTTGCTTCAGACCTCAGGTCTTGCTGCCGCGCCAGTGTTGGCGCCAGATTCAAAATTCAAATGTAGTAATACAGGTCGCCAGCAGATGGCGCCTCACAGACGGTTTTAGGCAGAAAGTTTAACTTTCAACTAATTTGCACCAAACTGACAAAATTATGACCAGGATATGTACACAACACTATTGGACACTCATTTAAATCGTTTATCAGCAAAAAAAAGTGGATTTGAGGGTGAGTTGTCCTTTAAGTAGAAAACAACCCTATACTTTTAAAATAAGAAAAAACTATTTCTAACTTTATACGGCTTAATAAAGAAGCCGTATAAATATCATACAGGCCAAGAGGTAGTGTGGAAGGAAAAGAGGAGCAAGCGTCTTCAGGTTGTTTACAAAGTCAGAACCCTGTGATTTCTTTATTCGTCAGTTTAGCCAAAATTTGCTCTTAAATTACTTTTCAAATTTGTTGTACAAAACAAGATGAAATAATATAATTTACTAAATTCAGTAGTGTGTGTTAATTTAGCTGCAATAGCCTTGTAATTTAATTCAATTAATTCTTGTATCTGTATGCAATGTACACATACAAGAATATTTAATTAAAGTTACATTACATGCAAGTTACATTATCAATAGCACAATTATAATTTTCTTACCCACACCAATTTTCTTAATATATTGACATTATGAATGAATTAACTTGAATGAATAGCAGAAGTAGAGTATTTCTAATCAACTCTTTTATTTGATTCTAAAACAGCTTTGTTCTTGACATTAACAGCGCTGCTAAGCAAACATTTCCTTACATTACTAGCTTGCCGAAACAATTTAAAATTAAAACGTCGGCATATGCTCACGTGTGGACATTTTCTCTTTACTACATTCGTAAGAAGGTGGGAGGGTAGAGAGAGACAGAGAGAAACTTTCCTAGAAAAGCATAAGGAATAATGAGACAACTTATGAAAGCTGGTATATTGAACAGATCTGTATGTTTACAGATAAACAATTTTCAAAACAATGTTCAATAAAAAAAATTGTACATACACTTGTGCACTTTACGCATGAAGTACATGGGAGGGTGGAAGGAGAGAGGGATGGAGGGGGGAGTAGAGAGATATTGTGGGTGTTTTCTGCAAAAAGAGGAACATAAAACATTTCCCACAACTGCTCACAAGTTAGTTTTTTTCCCCAGGTAGCTCATATGAGACACATCAAGACGGCACAGGCTCTCGTCGCATCAATGCCCCCAGTAAAGAGTTGTCCTCAAATATTATTGTTGGCTGGACCAGCCCCTTGGGTTTTCTTCATTACAATGGTTTTCCCTCCATTCTGCTTGTCATAGTCCTGATAAAGTGAAGCACAGGAATGCACATTGTTATAAGGGGGTCCTAAGAACTTATGATCAGAATACAAAATCAAATGGCATTACCAAACAAACACGAGCCTCGGTGTTCCTCGAGAAAACCCTTCTCCTTTTCACCAAGAAGACAACCAAGTAGAAGATGGCCACTTCTTGTCGCCACTTCAATTGTATCGCCCTGAAGAGGAGGAAAACAGATACTTACTTCTGGACATCCCTTACAAAAAATAATATGAAGCAACAGTTATTTTCCATAGCATATGACTATTTCCCAAAAAAGCCAAAAGGCTGACCATGTCAGAGTAACATGGTGTGTACTTTCGCCATTCACAAGGCCACACAAGTACCTAATGATAGGGGGGGGGGATAAATGGCATAAAAATTAAAAAAATAGAAAATGATTACACCCACTTGAGGGATGGTGCATTGGGTCATTTGAGAGATATTTTGTATTGGAAGTTTGTACCTACCATGAAAAAAACCCCCCACCCCACCCAAAAAACTGGATGGATTATGCTTTTTAACCCTTTTCCCACATATTATACATTAAATAAAATCAAATATTAAATAAAATAAAGAGGGAAGGTTTTTGTTCACCTCTAAAATGTTGGACAGTTCTATTGTAATAAATATATAGTTACAAAATACATTTTGGCTTTTGGTTAATTCAAGCGAACCTTCAAAATCCTCAAGCAGATGATCACATTCAAAACACCTTCAGCAGTTCAACAGTCGCCACAGGTATGTTTTTTGCTTTTTCTTAAAAGGAAAATCATTATATTATAATTATATTATAATATTTAGCATATAGTATATTTTTATACATTACTTGAGCTTGGTTTGTGTCAGGTTCCAGCCAAATTAGTCACCTTTTAAAACATATTTTAGCTAGAAAGAGTAAGCTAGCTGGCTAGCTAGCTAGCTTAGTATAACAGTTGATTTGACTTGTTAGCTCATATTAGCCAGACAAATAGATTATACAGTAATAAATTAGTAGATATCACATAAGTAATTGACACTGGCTTAGTCCTAGTGCTTGTAACTCAATCCAATTTAGAATATTCATCTTTTTCAGAAAAGTACATCATCATACATCATCAAGGATGGCAGAGCCCAGACACTCGTCCAAAACTAGATCTACTGGAAATATTTATAATGCAGATATCGACTTTCCTCCCTGCAAGAACTTCCAACCCCCTACAAAACTCCCTACACTGCAGAGTGTCATAAGCGTGATACGGTACCACCTAGAGAGGGGCAATGGGAGAGTGACTACAACCATGGCAGTACGGGAAGTGACAAAACAGGTTTACGCCAAGTACTACCATGACACTGTGTTCTGTGTCTCCTTGAGCACCATCCAGAGGAAGTTAGAAAGGATCTGGAAACAATTCAGTGAGGGCAAAAAGAGGTATGGACAGACAGGAAAAGAAGATTCACTTGCTGTAAAGCAATATAAAGAGTTATTTCATTCAAAGTCTGAGCTTTTTGATGTATTTGCTCATGACCCTAAACGCCGGCAATCACTGGAGAAAGAGTGGTGTGTAAGTATGAGTGAAATGGAACACAAATATTATGAAGATCAGAAGACTGAGCGGCGGATGTTCTGTTCCAAAGGTGTGGACCCAGTCTGGTACCATAGCATGATGCGAACCCAAAGGCTGAGGGAGAGGAGCGAAGAGTATCAGAGGAAGAGAGACCAGCAGTTCTCATATCAAACTCTGGATCAAATTACAGATATCTTGATGGAAACCGGTGAGATATCCAGCTCTAGCAGCGATGAAGAGAAGGTCACACCCCCAAAGCGATTGAGACAAACTCAGGGAGAACAGAGTGAGGTGCGAGCAGAGCCCAAAGGGAGGAAACAAATCTTCAAAGATGTTGCTGACTTACATATGGATGAAGATCCACTACCACCAGAATTTCAACAAATCCGATTGTCAGAGAGAAAGGTCCGGGAAGAATTCTATACAACTATAGCCAATCTGTCTGGAAAGGGACTTTCTATCTTTGAGGCGAGTACAGCTGTAATTGAAGTAGGCAACAGTATGTTTGGACGATGTTGGAAAAGTGCTGGGGAATGCGATGAGATTTTTGATAAGGATACCGTGCCAAGTACTAGAAGTATAAGGGCTGCTCTACAGCAAATTGAAGCACAAAGTCTGTGTCTAGTTGTGGAAAAGCTGGAGGAGGAGAAGGGGAAGGGTAAAATGATCACACATGCGTCGGACAGCACCACAAAGAAAGGTGTAGGAAAGTTCATGGTACAAGGGTTACATGTGGGTCAAGACAGCCCATTTCCTTTGCCAATATTACCAATCCATCAAGAAACAACAGAGGACATAGCAATGCAAGTGGATATGGGGTTCGAAATACTGGCGTCAGTGAGAGGAGTCAGTGTGGAGGATGTGTATAAACTTGTAGATGCTCATATGACTGACAGCACAGAGCACAACAAAGGGTTTTCAAAGCTGTTGGCAGAGATTTACAACTTGGAAACACCAGCAGGGCAGATCTTTTGTGGCACCCACACTACACTGGGCTTCAGCAGTGCAATGAATAAAGTGATGCGGTTGGTGGAGGCTGATATGAAGATGGAGCAAGTGCTTCAAAGTTTCATGGTGGATCTAGATGTAGACAGCAAGAATGCCAGTGTGGCTGGACAGGCACTGGACATGTGCCTTAAGTTGGTGGCTCCTGAGTACGCCCACAAACCCTGGAACCGCTATAAGGAATTTCTCCACTTCCTTGAGCAAAAGCAGGTATCCAGTGTGCTGTTTTCATACAAAGACAGCAGGTTTTGGGTGTCTCTCAAGGGCAGCAGCCGTCCTAATACACCACTTTGGCCATCTAACAGAGTTCCTGAGCCAGAACCCTCACATTAACAACCGTCTGGCCTGCCTCGTCAAAGAAGTGATGGAGCTTCCCTACTTAAAGGTGGTCCTTGTGGTGTTTGACTGCCTGGGTGTGCACTTGGTGGAGCCTTTCTATGCCCGAACCATCGAGAAAGATGCTACCCATTCTCAGCTCAGGGAGTTCTACAAGGGACTCCACACAGGCTTGGGTCAGCCAATCAGTGACAGTTACACTGCATTCATAACACCTGAGTATCCTGTAGTGTCTGAAAAGCTTTTCAGTAGCGTAAAGAGGACCTACACAGAAGAGGTGCTGAACTCTGTGTCTGACGTGGCTGCTGAACACTTGGATGAGGTGAAGAAGCTGATTGCGCTCATGCAGCCCCACCTGAAGACAGTCCTGGCCAGGCAGAGAAGGGACTATGGGATTGATGAGGAGACCTTCCCAATGGACTACCCGGTCAGTGAACAGGCTGGTGATATTGATGGCACCCCTGTGCACAACATTGGGATGGAGAGACAATGTGGCAAGGTGGACTACAGACTGAAGAAACTAGGTACACTGAATGCAGTGAGTAGGTCAATCATTTTACAAAAGAGCCAGGAACTTAGGAATGGACAGATTCCATCCTTCAGAGGATTCAAGGCAGCAGCCCAGGCAAAACGAGAGGTTGAACTAAATTGGAGTAAACTAATGAAGGCAAAATTCCAGTGTGGGGCAGAACAGAAACAGGAGATGGCTCAAAGAAAAGAGAGGAAGAGACTAGACCTGCTGGACATTCTTAAATCTAGAGGTGGCCCCTTCACTGACAGCGGGGAAGTTGAGAAGTTCCTTGTAGATCAAAGTCTGAACAACATTGAAAAGCTGCAGAGAATGAAGCTTGAGGTTCAGTTTGCCAGAGAAAGTACCACACTTCTGCCTAAAGCTGATCCCATCTTCAGAATCCAGGTAACACTGGCCAGTGGGAAGAGGAGGATGAAAACAGCACAGGAGTTTGGAGATGCTCTCATGGCATACCTAGGCAAGAGGAGTGACCGAACCACACTGGAATATGAAAGATTCCAAGAAAGTCTTTAAAGACTAAGATCTGTACCTTAGGTTGAGTTTTGTATGTTAATAAAAGTATTTTCCAAAGTTTTCCAATTGAGTCGTTTAGTCTTAGTACACTATAGGAACAGTAAAAGCATAGAAAGGTTGTAACAGCCTAGAATGTATGGGGAATTGTTTTCAAGATAGAGTTACTTTGAGGTGTAACAAATCTTCTAATGATAGTGTTAAATAATTCCAAAATGAGTTTTGAAGCATTTATTTAACAGTATACAAGCAAACAGTAAGAATAGCTTATGCATACCGGGCGGAATGTGCAGAAAATTGCACTTTTGGGTTCTTTTTTTCATTTTCAAGGGGTGGGGGGTTATTTTCAAGATACAGAGATACGTTTGGTGTCAAATTTCCTGTATTTATAGTGTTAATCAAGTCCCAAATGGGTGCATTGAAATTTTGAAGTTGATGATTATCCCCCCCCCTACTAATGAGCCCTAAAAAATACAGGTCAGTGAAATTTACACACTACTTGAATGTACCTCATAACATGTCATAACAGGTGCCATGACAGTAATGACACCTGTTATGATGTGTCATAAGGTACATTAAATCAAAAAGTAACCAGGTTTTATGAAGTCACCTTAATGTTAACGTATGTGGATGTCCCTTTTACAATGAATAGCTAGCTAGATCATACCTCTAGCAGCATCTTTTTTATATTGTGCATCCTCATTTACGCTGCTCCTCCCCGCAAAGAATACAACACCATCATTTTTGGAAGATAGCGGTCCAGTCTTCCCATGAGGTTGACTCGAGGTAGATGATAGTAATCCTCTTTATTTATCTGCAAAGAGAAAACACAATAATCTACAAATACATAAATTGTTCATTAAAAATATGTTCAAGCAACTGATATTAACCTGGTGCATGTGTATGCATGCGTGGGGGACACATACACACACCCCTGGACAACATTACTTGTTTGAACATATGTCCCATGGGTTAATTCAACATTTCTGGACTTTTTTCATCCATATCCACATCCAAACGTGATAGCGATGGTAGCTGTGCATATCCGATTCATTGTTTTGCTTGTTGTATAGCTTTAGAGGGGCAAAAATTGTTCACAAGCACAAACAATATGTTACAACCAGTGACCATTTGTTGACAAACGAAAAGAGGAGACATGCAGCATGAAGAATTTCCAATTTGTATGCTAGCATAACATTTAATACCCAGGTTTCAAAATGTAAGACTGTTTCAATGCTTTCTAATGTATAATTTACAAATTCATTCAACTCAATGCTTGAAAGACTTTTTAATACCCAGTAGGAACCAGTCAACCAAACATATGCGTGCTGTCCCGTAGCTTTGCTAGCTGCAAACAAATGAAATCCTTTCACCTTTTGCTAATTGCATTCCGTAACAGACCCTCTTTCATTTTTACATGTCGTAGGCTTCTTGATACTTCACCAAATGTTGGAGCACGAATGTGTCTCGGTGTGCAAATTGCCGTGGATTCACTAGTCAGCCAACTAAAAAAGTACCAGGTAGCGGCTAAATCGAGCCGGTGGAAACGCCCGCAAACCGGGTAGAGTTAGAGCTATCTATCCTGCTCCTCATCTCCATTATGCTATCTCTTTTCCTTCCCTTCTTCCTCCTAATCTTCCCTCTCTCCCACATCCTCACCATATCTCCTTTATAGTGTGCTTGTCCATAATCAACATTTAGGCAAGTTAATAGTGCAATTATTCAATCTTTACATTTCAACCTCAGCACAAGACTCAAATCAATGTATTTTTTAATTCAACCAAAAATCATATATATTATATAAATATATAATATGAAATAGCTGAATATCTTTATCTAACAAACCGTGGATGGAATCTGACAGCCTTATCAAACACCTACCTGTGTTTGGTGTTTTTCTCTATCCTGTGAAGCCTTATTTTGCTTTTGCTGGCCCTTTGACCCACACACATCACACAAGGCATAACCTCCCGCTGGGCCGGCCGCGGACACCCTTTTGAAAGACTTCCTTTGTCCCCTCACCCCATCGCGCTCACGTGGAAGGCTTGAAAGCACCAGACCGCACGCTGGCCGACTTCAAGGCCGAACAAAATAGTATATTTTTGTGTATTCTCCCTGACACTGGTGATTCAGTCCCTCCGATTACCGAAGCCTCATTCAGAGACACGTTTACCTACAGCATTCACCAAAGAGTGAATACTGGACATGTGAGCGCTGCAGAGAGGGGGATAGGCAGTGAGAGAAAGCTCCTCAGTTACTACCGGCGTTGATTACATGATTTCAAAAAGGTAAGTGGTTATAGTTACCCCTTTATAAGTCCATGTTACTGCCTACTGTTAAAATCATTAGCTACCATTAGCCTGACAAAAGCCCACAGCGAAACATTGCACATCTGTAAATAAAAAAACACTGGTGTATGCAAGTACAGAGTGCGAGAGTTCTTTTCTTCTAATTCAAAGTTGGCAAAGCTGTGTGCGGAGATTGCTCTTACAAACTTGTCACAAAGTCGGATGTACAAAGTTTTCCGCTTTTAAAAATCATTGGCTATAAAATAAAACTGAGTAAAACCAACTTAGGAGTGATATCTAAAACGCCGGGGTTAGATGTCACGTCCTCACTTTTTTGATTACTTTTCCAAAGTAAACACCAATTTCCTCCCATGGACTCAAATATACAATTTTGCGGTAATCACTTTTTAATCTTTGAATCACTCTACTGTACAATTACAGCCACTAGCACCTGTGCCACACACACATAGTCGTAGACTTGACAGCAGTTTGACCAAACCCACTGATCTTGATCAAAACAAACACTATGTGACATGAAGTTGGCTAGATGACACTGTGAACACTGCGTGTCGAATGGAAACTCCAGATGAATGTGTCTGAGTAATTGCAACAGTTCACTTCTTGGATGGGCTTTTACCACATGTGCTGTATACTGGTTTGTGTTCACAGGCGTTCTGTACAGTCTGTTTCAATCATCCATTATTACAGAAAGTCAAATGTTTAAATGTTTAAATGTTTAGGAATAAAAAGAGCGGAGACACTAGCGAACAAGTGCCTTTGCAAATGCCAGCCTCACAGGGAAAGGAGCTCCTCTTCTTCAGGAAGAAGGCCACATGTCTGTGACAGCTGATCACATCCCGAGTCCTCCGACCACAGTGATGCCAACGTGATCCTGACCTTGTTGTAAAGCTCAGGATCTCTGGAAGAGAGGTGTTGACTATTTTGACTGTTTTTTTCCCTCTGATTTCTTTCACTGGTCTCAATCTCTAGTCTCTTTGGTTTCTCTGTGGTCTTCCTCTGGTCTCTGGAATCCTGTTGTTGAATTTGTTTGGTGAGAAAACATTTGTCATTCTTCTTCATCAAATGTGGACAACAGTTCATACCTCATGTTAAAGCTCGGAACTCCCCTCATCCAGTCGATCCGTGGTGTCGGCCCCTAGACAATTTAGTGGAGTAAAGTGGCCCTTTCCTATGAAGGTGTAAACGTATCAATGTTTTGAAAAGTAAAAATTTGCTTTGAATGTTGTAAAGTGTAGGGGTTGTGAGGGTTTGTAGTCTTCATTTCATTGAGATCTTATTTGTTCTACATTTTTGTCTTTGTGCTCTTGCATTGGACCTGTGTGTGTTTGTGTTCATGTTTTTAACACAACCACCATGGAGGATCAGCGAGGGACTGGTGCTATGAGCATTGAGTGGCTGCACTGATTGTCACCCTGCCCCCCCACCAAGAAATGGACTAATAAAGGGGTTGAAAATGAATGAATGAACATTTTCATGTGTGCTATAGTTCTAAGAATGAATGGTTACAAAAACAAATCCATTTCAAAGTTGTTGATTCAATAATAACAAACACATCTGGACCAAACACATTGGTCCATAGGGAGCAGGATGACCACTGTAAATAAATGTCCTGGCTCATCGCTGTCCTTAGACCCTCAGACGTCATAATGATGATAGAGAAGAAGATAAGGCTGGTATCATACCTCTCAATAACCAGAAGGACTGAAAATCATCATTTCAGATTCAGATTATTTCATTTGCCACATTGGTGTGCACAAGAAAAGTACATAAATTAACAAGGTCAAAAATAAGTAAAACGGGAAACAATTGACACCGTGAAATCGATTGACAATAACAGTTTCAATACAAAAGCAAGATCACTAAAGTGCTCTGTTCAAACTGATAACAGCTTGTGGAAAGAAGCTGTTAGAATATTGAGCTGTCCGGCATCTCAGCGAACGATATGACTGCCAGAAGGAAGAAGCTGGAACATGGCTTTTCTAGGGTGGCCAGAAGAGTCATTGATTTTTCTAAGACCATAAAAGTCTGGATTTATAAAGAACCTCCGGAACAGGAAGCTCACTGCTCACAGTCCTTTTTGCAGAGCGGAGCACCTTTGCTTTTTTACCCCTCATACATGTATTTCGCCAATTATATTTCAAAATGTTGTTGTTTGACCTCAGTTTTTGCCTCCCGTGAATCCAAATCCGTCCTCATCAAATCTCAGAAGATAAATGTTTTCGTATTTACATGTGTAAGACTCATATCTGCCTTGTCTCTGCACTATATCAAATCTTGTTCCAAACACCCAATCCATTATAAAGAGCGGGCACTGCATCAGTCTACAACTTTATTGTATCAACAAGCCGCTCCCTTTTCACCGACGCTCAATTAAACCCAGGGAGGAACCTTCCCTTCCACTACTGTACGATTTATCACCCGGGTGTACGAGTGCGGGGTATTGTATATCTTTCACGCTACACGACGCGCGTATTTGCCGGGGCGCACCGGCAAGAGCATCACCTGTCGGCAGAAGTATGCAAATGAGATAATGAGCGCCAACGTGGAGGCGGCGGAATGCAAACGAGCTGTCTGCGGACACCGGTGTCATCAATAACTGTGTGCCCAATGGCACCCAAACGCGCTTAGCTAAGGTTAACAGCAAACAAAGCGTGCGCTCATACATAAATACATGGGAGGATGCGCCATGCGTGT